AAATTATAATTTTTTATTTTTTTTATTTTTAATAATTAAAATTTATTTATATTTATTAAAAATAATTACCTTTTTTATTAAAAAATTATAATAAATCTTACGCAAAATAACCTTTCAACTTGTCTATTGGTGGCATGTTAACTCCTAAATCGATTTCAGCACATGTAGCTCCCTGAACTCTTCGACAGTGGCAATTGAGGTGACTTCATTATTCCGTCAACAACTAATGGAGCCTTCATTAAAGTAGGTTACACGTCTGAACTGGCCATTACGTGGCCTTTTTTTTGTTGGGTGACAAGGGAAGTGGGACTGTTTCAAAATAAAAGAAAAGAATAATTCTACTCCTTAAATAACCTACATATTACTTCAAATTTATAAAATGTGCCACTTTTATGTTAATTGATTATCTATATCAAAATTTGCCAAAAAATTTCTATTGAACTAAAATAATGATAGATGGACTAAAATTTTAAATTTATAACCTAACATGAGTTATATTATTTAAAATAGTAAAAATTAGATTTTATATTATTTAATAATTAACTTTTTTTTACTTTATTATGTATTTACATCAACTCATTTAATAACTTAACTTATACCACATCATTCATCTTAAATTTTTTTCCTTTTTCATCTTATGTATCACTGCTCATTAAACTAACTTATCAATCTCAACCAAAAAAATGAAAAATGAGATTCAAAAATAAATTATTAAATTACCAACAAAACTATTCGCAAAAATTAAATTAGTTTGCTTATACATGATTTTCCCTTTTCCTGAAACCAAACCATAGAGGAAAAAATGGCAATATTACTTTTTTTAACCAATTTCTTGATTTTTTGCATCATAGACCTAGCAATCAAATAATCAATGAACTTGATTCATTTTATTTTTTTGCTAAAAGTTGTAAACTTACTCAAGAATCTAAAAAAAAAAAAAGAAAAGAGAAACTCATTTAATAAGAGTGGGTGAATTTTAATTATAAATTATAAATGGACAAATTTTAATGTTGATAATGCCCACAAATTCAAAAAAAAAAAAAAAAGCCAGGTATATTTGAGTTTTTTTAGTTCCATGCAAGCTGCCATTTATTAGGAATGCATCAAAAAATCAAAACAAAGGAAGAAAAGAGAACCAAAAAATCTATTTAAAAATTTTTTTGTTTCATTAAAAATAAAAATATTTAACAAGTTTAATGAGACAAATATCATGGGCAAAAACTTACTTTTAACCCTGTACCTTAATAAGTTTATAGGTTTTAGTCTCTCAATTTATACTATGACACTTTTAATCCCTCACTCATATAAATTAAAAAAAAATAACTCTTACTTAACATGAGGTTATAATATTAGTCAACTGATTGTTAATATTTCATTAATAATCAATTGACAAATTGTTAACGATGACAAAAACAAAGTTAATGGAATGTTAATAATCAGTTGACGAACATTATAAACTGACATTAAATAAGGGCTATTTTCTTAAATTCGTAAAGGTAATGGGCTATTTTTTTTAATTCATAAAGGTGAGAAGTTAAAAGTGTTATAATACAAAATAAAGAGTTAAAATTTATAGACTTATTAAGGTAAAGAGTTAAAAGTATGTTTTTGTCAACACCACGTTGTTTCTTACTCAACGATTAGTGGATTAAGACATAAGCACGTTAGTTTTTAATGGAATAATGATGTCATCCATAAAAAAAAAAAGAAAAAAAGCTTATTTGCCACTATTGAAGAGTTCATGGGATTGTATGTTGCTGAAATTGGTTTAGGGCTAGTCTGCCAACAATGAACAAATTGAAGGGTTGTTTTGCATGATTTGTCTAAATCTTAATTATTAAAAGTGAAGAAATAAATAGTTAAAATTTTGTGTAAATGTATTATGTATAACTTGTGTATAAGTGAATTTTTTCTATATATATATATTAAAAAAAAAAGAGTGATTTTTTTAGGATAGAATACATTAAAAGCATGAGTTTTGTATTTGATAGTTTAGATTATTTTAGACTATAAAATAGAAATTATTAAATGTAGGACAACTCATAATATGAAAATATCTAATTTTATCCAATAATAAGTATTGTATAATTTAAACAATACAATAATTTTTTATAAAAGCATCTATAAGTACTAAGAAAAAGATAAATTAAAATATTATTAATTAATCTTCATCTATCCCTGTTCATTAAGATGTTCTTGCTTTTTCTTACCTCGATTAACAAAAATATCATTAATAAATCCACACATACATATCTTATTCATTAAGAGTGAGTAGTTTTGTTTTTCAATCATGAACTAATGTGTAAGTGCAAGGTAGACCATAAAAAATTAAACTCCTTCTAGTCTTTTTTAAATATTGTAGTCTATTAAATTTATATAAATTAATTTGATAATTTTATATAAAAATGACTAGTCATTGATAAAAATTTTGATTTAAGTAAAATACTCAATAATAACTACATATAAAAAGAAAAAAAATTATTATCAACTACTTAATATATAAAATTATCTTATCAAACTTTATACATAACACAAACTAGAACAATTAATCAAACCAGAGAAAGTATTTAGAAAAAAAATTATGGTCCAAAATTTTATTTTATTTACTTAGATAGTACTCATCATGCTACATAAAATGAAAAAAGTGTTACGCATTTTGAATGATATTAAATTGTACAAAATTAACTATCAAATGAGGTTAAGTTTTTTGATATTAAACTGTCCCCCAATCAATAATTCTTATTTTACAATTTGTTATTATTTAAATTGTAAAATAGAGTTCCCATGTAGAATATACCATAATTAGCTATATTAAACTTAGTTATGTTTGCGAAAATATTATCACAGACACTTTGTTTCTAAAACTCAAATATTTTGATCTTACAAATGTAGAGCTGATCACAAAATTATCACTGCAAAAGCAAAACCACAAAATGGTTAAAAGTGATTAAGAAAAAAAAAAAATACAGGCTACTGAATTGTCTTTGTGGTGCAAGTTTGGTCGACTTAACGGCAAAGTGTTAAGTCAGTTCCACGAAGCGCGTGAGTAGTTTAATTATGACGAGAGAAAGGAAAGGTATGGGTAAACTATCCAGGAACTTGGCCAGAAGATTCCCAATAATTAAAGCATCCCATTCACATTCAATTATCTCTATTCTTTTTCTTTTTTGAACAGAAAAAGTAATAGGTTTTGTGAAAAGAGTAGGTCTAATGTGTGTTTTAAGACATATATTAAAGGTATAAGAAATATATTTTTTATAATTAATTTATATTAAAAATTATAAAAATTAATACATATTTTAATATTATTGACATATAAATAATTTTAAT